TTTCTTGGCCAAAGAGAGAGTTTGCAATTTATGCTACGTTTTAAGTGTATTATCACAGTCTAGATGGTCGGTAAAAGGAAAAAAAACGGTTTATTATGGCCCCACTTATTCCGGAATTGTATGACGTTGCGTTTTATTATTTATGAAAATTGCGCTACGACTGTTTCCAAATCATTTCCGCGGAAAACTTCTTGGCCTATTGACGTAAAACAGAGAAAATTACAAAGGAAATCAACTTCGCTCGAAACGTAATAATTTTTAAAGGGTAAAGAGTTAGTGGAAGCACTACCGCACAAATTTATTACATACTTAACAATGGCTGTTATGTGGATTTTTGCTTTTAGAGACCGAACTTTTTTAGTTTTATAACTCCAGTTTTACGTGAAGTAATATTTTTTAGTGCAGTTTATTATTGCGAAAAGCGCTTTGCAACTTTACCACAGATTTTCGCTTATCAAAATCGAAATTACAACCGACAGTTTGATCGAGTTCGTTAAGGTAACCAAACAGCATAATTTACAATGTTATGGAACAAATGGGTTGCCTAATTGGTCATGATTTATTAAACGATTACTAATCAAATTGAACTCATTTTTTGTAGAAATCGTCTTCTATAAACTTGGTAATAAATTGTGTTGAAGTTCTTTCATTTTTTCTTAGGTTCATTAGTATCATCATTTTGAAAAGTTTCACTTATTTCTTCAATAAAATTTATTTCTAGAGAAGATAATTTTTGTATAGGTCTGACGATAGTGCCATTGGATTGTTTTCTATTTCACCACTCGAATATGGTTATCCTTTCTAGAATAGAGTTCTAACACCTAGACCTAATGGTCAATCCATTTTTTCGTGTTAGATCCAATCAGTATACCTACATCTACATCCCCTTTTTTAATAGGGCGTTTTTCTTTTAATTTTCGCTTTAAATTTAGTTGACCAAGATATGCAGATCTAAATCCGTTCTTTAGATCAGTTTTAATTGTGGTATTAAATTTTTTAATAATATAAAGAAAGGGGACCAGCAAGATCCACTCCAATAAATTCAAAAATTGCTGGATCCGCTACTCTATTCTCTGGTAATGGTAATGCGGGTGTTTCGAAATTCGTACCTTCTGCACAGAGTACATTTAGAAATGGCATTTTTTGTTGTTTTCTGATATCCAAAAGTTTTCTCTAAAAAGTGCAAGTAAACCTTAAGTACCAATATGTCAATTTTTAATAGATTTTTGTTTTAAGAGATTATAGAAGAAGGTTGTTCCCATAGTTTGTAGTTTTCTAATGCACCTATTACTTTTGTTGATGTAGAGAGACGTTTCTCTGCTTAGTGCTTATAAATTAATTCTTAGCGACTTCGTGCAGAAAACTTAAAAAAACATGTTATTGCTAGTGTTTATCGTAATTCCTTTTTTATTAGAAATTATGCAACATATATAATTTGGCACATGTATGCATATACATCAAAACTGTTTGCGTATTTTTCATTAATATTCTGCATATATCTGCACATATTTTACCATTTATTGTGTATTAATACAGGTAGTCAAGAAAATTCGCAAAAACTTTTAAAAAAACATTTTTTTAAATTACTTATTAACAGTTGATTTTATCGAAACAGTACTTATGTATATTTATAGCACATATAAAGAGCTTTCATTACAAAAAAAGAATAATGAAATTGGATCAATAATTCCAGAGATATAGTTGATTTTATAAAACTCAGTATCCGCAATCTTTGATTCGCCGCCATTTCTATTAGCTACCACTTTGAGACTACAGGCCACATTCTATAAGAAATTTTTTTCCCGGCTCGATCTGAGACAATTTTTTTTTCGAGCCTCAAGAAAAGGCAGTTTTACCAAAAATCGACTGCACCAAAATTTCTCGGGAAAACACTTTTTCTTATTAATTTTGGTGCGTAGAATCCAAAACAATTCGTACTTTTTCGATCAGACTTTTCAATCAAAAGTTATAGACTAAAAACCAATTGGGAGATAAAATTGAAATGGCTGTAACTTTTGAACTAGTAGCCCAATCTTGGAACAGTTTGAAATTATGGATTCTACAGGCCACATTCTATAAGAAAATTTTTTTCCCGAGTCGATCTGAGACAATTTTTTTTGCGGGCCTCAAAAAATTTTTTTACCAAAAATCGACTACACCAAAATTTCTCAGGAAAACACTTTTTCTTATTAATTTTGGTCCGTAGAATCCAAAACAATTCGTACTTTTTCGCTCAGCCTACTCAATCAAAAGTTATAGACTAGAAACCAATTTCGAAATAAAATTCAAAGGGCTGTAACTTTTGAACTAATAGCCCAATCTTGGAACTGTTTGAAATTATGGATTTTACAGGCCACATTCTATAAGCAAATTTTTTTTCCGGGTCGATCTGGGACAATTTTTTTTCTTGCCTCAAAAAAAGGCAGTGTATTACCTTCCTTTTTTGCCAAAAATCGACTGCACCAAAATTTCCCGGGAAAATAATTTTTCTTATTAATTTTGGTGCGTAGAATCCAAAACAATTCGTAGTTTTTCGATCAGACTTCTCAATCAAAAATTATAGACTAAAAACCAATTTCGAAATAAAATTCAAAGGGCTGTAACTTTTGAACTAGTAGCCCAATCTTGGAACAGTTTGAAATTATGGATTCTACAGGCCACATTCTATAAGAAAATTTTTTTCCGGGTCGATCTGAGAACATTTTTTTTTCGCGCCTCAAAAAAAGGTAGTGTATTACCTTCCTTTTTGCCAAAAATCGACTGCACCAAAATTTCTCGGGAAAACACTTTTTCTTATTAATTTTGGTGCGTAGAATCCAAAACAATTCGTATTTTTTCGACCAGACTTCTCAATCAAAAGTTATAGACTAGAAACCAATTTCGAAATAAAATTGAAAGGGCTGTAACTTTTGAACTAGTAGCCCAATCTTGGATCTGTTTGAAATTATGAATTCTACAGGCCACATTCTATAAGAAAATTTTTTTCCGGGTCGATCTGGGACAATTTTTTTTTCGGGCCTCAAAAAAAGGCAGTCTTCCTTTTTTACCAAAAATCGACTGTACCAAAATTTCTCGGGAAAACACTTTTTCTTATTAATTTTGGTGCGTAGAATCCAAAACAATTCGTACTTTTTCGATCAGACTTCTCAATCAAAGGTTATAGACTAGAAACCAATTTCGAAATAAAATTCAAAGGGCTGTAACTATTGAACTAGTAGCCCAATCTTGGAACAGTTTGAAATTATGGATTCTACAGGCCACATTCTATAAGAAAAAATTTTTTTCCGAATCGATCTGACAATTTTTTTTTCGGGCCTCAAAAAAAGGCAGTGTATTACCTTCCTTTTTTACCAAAAATCGACTACACCAAAATTTCTCGGGAAAACACTTTTTCTTATTAATGTTTGTACGTAGAATCCAAAACAATTCGGACTTTTTCGATCAGACTTCTCAATCAAAAGTTACCTATAGACTAGAAACCAATTTCGAAATAAAATTCAAAGGGCGGTAACTTTTGAACTAGTAGCCCAATCTTGGAACTGTTTGAAATTATGGATTCTACAGGCCACATTCTATAAGAAAATTTTTTTCCGGGTCGATCTGAGAAAATTTTTTTTTCGGGGCTCAAAAAAAGGCAGTGTATAACCTTCCTTTTTTACCAAAAATCGACTACACCAAAATTTCTCGGGAAAACACTTTTTCTTATTAATTTTGGTGCGTAGAATCCAAAACAATTCGTACTTTTTCGATCAGACTTCTCAATCAAAAGTTATAGACTAGAAACCAATTTCGAAAGAAAATTCAAAGGGCTGTAACTTTTGAAATAGCAGCCCAATCTTGGAACTGTTTGAAATTATGGATTCTACAGGCCACATTCTATAAGAAATTTTTTTTCCGGGTCGAACTGAGACAATTTTTTTTGCGAGCCTCAAAAAAAGGCAGTGTATAACCTTCCTTTTTTACCAAAAATCGACTGCACCAAAATTTCTCGGGAGAACACTTTTTCTTATTAATTTTTTTCTCAATCAAAAGAAACCAATTTCGAAATAAAATTCAAAGGGCTGTAACTTTTGAACTAGTGGCCCAATCTTGGAACTGCTTGAAATTATGGATTCTACAGCCTTTGAGATGGCAATCATGGTTCTTTGGCATCCTAATAAACCTGTATAATCAAAAAGGAAAATTGGTATCCCCAAATTATACCGTCTTCATAATTTTGCTTAGGCAATTCCAATGGATCTCTATACAGCTAAAAAGGACCCTCCCACCATTTTAACTCCAACAATTTCTTTGGAGAGTAGGTAATACTGCAGGATTGCACTCTCCGGGGATAAAATTCTATTTGCCAATTTTTGGTAAAGTTCTAATTTCTTGGACTCGGTTCCAGACGAAAGTTTTCCATTGGTTTCGTATCCAAGAGAACGCACGCAGCACTGGAATCTCACCAGCAGAATACAGGAACATTACGGAATTCCAAGTTTTCTAAAACACCTCTAATCTTGGAATGCTCATTTACTTTAGGGGTGCAAATCAGGTTTTTGCTTGGATCAATTGAATTTTGACTTCGGAAAGGGCATCAGATCTCAAAAATATCCCAGCAGAATAGGCGTAAGCACTTGCATCGCAGAATAAGTGAATGCTCCGAGTATTGTAAAGAGCATCATAGTAAAATTGAGTAGCAACCTCGGAATTTTAAGGTTAATCAACAGGTTTAAATCTTTGGCCCAGTTTAAAAACTCCATTTTTATATCTATTTCCACATCCCACAATAAGTTAATAGACCATGTTTTTTGCAGTAATAAATAGAAGTTGGAGCAGAAAATCTAATCGAGTTAAAAATTTTATTGAAAAGCGACAGAATCGTTCTTTTAGTTACTTTTTTCAAATTTAATTTTTTAAACCGGTCAGATATAAGTTCTAGGGTATCTTGATAACGGTCCCATTTTAACTCTAACGCATGGGATAAGAACACTGTATTCGATGGGTCTTCTTTATCGAGAATGATAGTCTCCCAGCCTCGTAGGTCAAACTTTCCTCTATCCATGACAGCTTCTGACTGCGTAATGAATTCAGAACATTCTTCAATTGATACTCGTGACACAATTGTCAACGTAAAAGCTTTTTGATAATATTATTGGTGCACCTAATATTTCTTTTCATTTGCAGACATTAACAAGACATAGACCGCGACCAAGATCCCAGATTAACGAAAGATCTCGAAGTTTCGCACCGGGTACAAGTTCGCACGAATCCGCCCTCGAAGACGACGTGTTCTTCGAGCAACAGGCGCCTCCGGCAAGTCCGCCATTCGACAATACCTCAAGTGATGAGCTCGACGCGAACCCTCCCGTAGAACATCGAAAGACGTTGGAGGCGCCGATACGCTACACCGCGACAACCGGATGGAAGCGCAATCCTCAACACGTCGTAAGGACCAGAGGAGAACATCGAAAGGACGTGGGCGGGAGTAGAATATTTTCATCTCTTCTAGATAGCGTCTTAGACAATTCTGATCGGAGACAGTATGGAATGGGATGGGTCGGCCGCATGTTTGGGTAATCATTACCCATGTTTCCCCTCTCAATTTCTATGTCTTTTTCCTAAACAGGCGGTCAATGAGGCGGTCAGTACAACAAGACGAAGATATACAACAGCAGCTTGACGATTTAGAAGATCATCGGCCGATGTTCACCTACTGGGTTACGACTGTGCAAATACTGGTGCTCGCCATTTCTCTGGTCTGTTACGGATTCGGCCCATTTGGTATTGAAATGAGGACCAGATCCGCCCACGTGCTCGTACCGAGTTTGTCATTACAACAGGTCGATTATTTAGAACCTGCAAATTTTTGGTTAGTGATCAATAATGGTTCATTGTACACACCTCCTATTTTATCTGTTAGATCTCTCTCTTGGTGATATTTTTACTTTGCTGTTCTCCCAACAATTTTCCTAATAATAGTGATCGCCACACTTTTCTAATGATTTTCCAAATTTTTGTAATCGCAGTGGGCCCCCATTAAGAAATCCTCTTATAATTTAGGACGCTATAGTCATTTTTTTTCTGTAGGTACGGTCCAAAGGCGGCAGATTTAATACATCTAGGAGCAAAATTTGCGCCGTGCATGCGAATCGACGATAAAATACAACAGCAAATTGAGAAAACGAGGACAAAGGAACGCGAAACGGCGTGCTGCATAAGGAATGACCACTCCGGCTGTGTGCAATCATCACGAGCGGATTGTTCAGTGAGTACCTATTGCTTTTGTTGTTTTAATAAAATTAACATTATTATGGTAGACATATATGTAATTTTATTCCTTTTTTTTTCAACCCAACTGATCCGAGGATTAATGCCATCGGTATGTTCCACATCTTAAATGCACGATTTTGTATAGTGTGTGTGTTTTAATGTGGCTTGCACTTTAGGTATACACATGATCATTAAAGACCTCAAGATTTAAACTTAAATAACTAAATAACTAATTGAAATTATTAAATTTAGAGCTTAGATTATGATACCATGGGTAGATTCTAAAATTAACAGTTTTCTGTGCCTACTATTTGTAAGATAAATTGAATTCTAAAATTTAGAATACCCTTTAAGTCTATTATGAACATCTAGAGACAATTACCCAGAAGGGGGGCCAGCTGGGGCGCACTCCCACCTATATCGTGATCTTTCCTCATCTAGGGGCTAAGTATATCTCGAATCATCTGGAACAGAATAATAAAAAACTATTTCTAGATAGTATTCTATACATTTAATCATGTTTTGTAAACTACCCCTTGGTCATTTTCATCAATCCCTATAGAATTTCAAAAATTCAGTGTCCTTTTCATTTAAGCAGATCTGTAGAAATGCTTTCTTTATGTCGGAACCACTCCTATCTTATTTGCCCTAAATTTAATAAACAACGCAGGAATAATTTCACTTAAATTCAAACCCTTCTCTAAACACATGTTCAAGAAAGGTTGACCTTTTTCCCTGCAGGATGCGGCAGAAACTGGTCCAATGGCGGTCGTTGAATCTCCCTTTATCAAAAGGAAAAAAAATGCTCTTTGTTCGAACACCGTTCAATTTTTGAAACGATTTTCACTGATTCCCATTCCTTGAATGCCTCGAGCTTTTAAATTCTGCTTTTCTAATTTTTGTACCTTAGCAATTTTATTGGGTGTCCTTCTAACCAGGGTAGTTGAACTTTGTATCTGTTATCTGTGTTAACTACTCAATCATACCATACAGTTTAGACAGGTTCCAATAACTTTAACAACTCGCGAAAAAACCTCGATTTGCAACTCTTCACGGCCAAATGTAACAGTCAAACAGTCAATAGTGTTACAGTTCTGGTCAAGCACAGCATACAACCCTCAACTATTTGACGAGCACTGGAGTGTCTAGTCAGTAGCACATATCCTCTTTTAAACACTACATGCCACATAAAAAGTTATTTAGTGTTAATTTTAGATTGAAAGTAGTTACGAGTCAAAAAGTTAATATGGCAGGTGAAATGGTTGTGATCAAGGTTTATTAGAATCTTATTTTACTCGTTTATTAGGCAGAAATTGGTTGGATGTACCCAGAGCTGTGCAGTATTCGATGCTGTAAATACTTTTTAGTATTCAAATCCTTTAAAGTATTCAAATAATACTTTTATGGAAGCAGTATTTGTATTTGTAACTCAAATACTTCGCATAGTATTTGAATACTTAAACAGGAAGGCCTTTTTTTTTACCAAAAATCGACTACACCAAAATTTCTCGGGACAACACTTTTTCTTATTAATTTCGGTGCGTAGAATCCAAAACAATTCGTACTTTTTCGATCAGACCTCTCAATCCAAAGTTATAGATTAGAAACCAATTTCGAAAGAAAATTCAAAGGGCTGTAATTTTTGAACTAGTAGCCCAATCTTGGAACTGTTTGAAATTATGGATTCTACATGCCACATTTTATAAGAAAATTTTTTTTCCGGATCGATCTGAGACAATTTTTTGTTCGAGCCAAAAAAAAGGCAGTGTACAACCTTCCTTTTTTACAAAAAATCGACTACACTAAAATTTCTCGGGAAAACACTTTTCCTTATTAATTTTGGTGCGTAGAATCCAAAACAATTCGTACTTTTTCGATTAGACCTCTCAATAAAAAGTTATGGACAAAAAACAAATTTCGAAAAAAAATTCAAAGAGCTGTAACTTTTGATCTAGTAGCTCAATCTTCAAACTGTTTGAAATTATGGATTCTACGGGCCAAATTCTACAAGAAAATGTTTTTTCCCGGTCGATCTCAGACAATTTTTTTCCGGTCTCAAAAAAAGGCTGTACTTATAAGTTATTCAAAAATTTGAGAACAATTTAGAAATGTTTAGAGAAAGTTTCCATTGTCACAAAATCAAATATAAAAATCCGATACAACTGAATACCGAACGATCCTGGAGTGAAACTTTTTGACTCGATAGTCTACGTAACTTAAAAACAATAGGGACCTTTCTTATGTCCTTAAGACCATGTGTACCAATTTTCAAAGCGATCGCACGTTTCTAAACAAGTTATCATGCACACGGACAAACGGATGGTCAAAAATGGATCTGTTCCAAAATCGCTAGGATTAATTTCAGAAAGGCGTACGTATCATGTGCACGACATACGATCGCTTTAAAAACTGGTACACGTATTCAAGAAAGGTCCTGTGCGGTACCTCCTGTATAATAATATAATAATAATAATACGCTTTTACTCCCCTTAAATTTGTATATTACAATAGAAATATAAAAGAAGATAATCCCATACAAAGTATAACTTGATTTTTTAAGTAGTATTAAGTATTAATCTAGTATACTATTTTAAATTTTTAATGTATTTGGGTGACAAGTATTTGAATACTTTTCAAAGTAATGTAATGAAATACTTTTCAAAGTATTCGAATACTTTTTATAGTATTTGAATACCTTTGATAGTATTAAAATACTTTTGAAAGTATTCTGCACAGCTCTGGATGGACCAATGATTGGAAAAATAATTTTTTTGGGTGTTAACTCAAAAATTATTGCTTTATTTTGTCTGAACAGTAATGAAAAGTCAGAGTCCGTTGATTTTAATCGGTGTATAGTTGCGGTTAAAGGTTTCTAGTGATTCTTCGGGATCAACTTATAAAAGGTTTTTATGCAAGTTTTCAACTTAAAGAAGGAAGTAGCGCAGTTTTTCATCGTGCGTACGATGTAGGTACCAATTTTGTTAGAGAAAAAAGTTGAAAAAGAGTTATCAAAAATGGTTCAATCAGGAGTACTTGAAAAAGTCAAATACAGTCAGTGGGCTAGTCCCATATTGTTATTGTCCCTAAAAAGAAAACAGGGGAACAGTCTAGCCCATTTCGCCGTCGCCATTCTGCCGTCGCCAGTCCGCCGTCGCCAGTCTGCCATCGCCAGTCTACCGTCGGGCCATTTTGCCGTCGACCCGGTCCGCCGTCGCCACTCCGCCGGCGAGCCAGTTGACCCTCGCCACTTCGCCGTCGCTTCGCTTCGTCGCCGCCGAAAGACCAGTATGCTACTTAATCACATTAAAGTGTTGTAATTTCTCGCTAGATATACATCCAGTAAACTAGAGTTTTTTATTTACAATTTTTCTTTCATAATAATATCTAAAAAAATCATGTCCATTTCGCAATTATAAATAATAAGACTCTTAAATTAAAATTTCCTGATTCTTATTGTTATTACTTATTATTAATTGTGACTATAAACAAACCTACCCAAACCTCTACTTTTATCTTTTATTAATATTACTTATTATTTATTACTTATTCTTATATTACTTATGCGTTTGTTCCCGTGGAACGAGTGCAGGATGCAGTCAATCAGCTCAGTAATTACCTTCCCAACCAATTGCATCCCCTGGATTGGTTTGAGGACAATTACCTGGGAAGGGCGAACAGGTAAATTGCATAAATACTGACAACTTTAATAATCATGTTGGTTGGATAACTCTACGAAACATTCGCTTCAGATCAATCCCTCTGGCATTTATAGACCGACGGCAAAGTGGCCCCCCGGCGGACTGGCGCCGGCGAACCGGGCCTACGGCGAAGTGGCCCGCCGACCGACTGGCGACGGCGGACTGGCGACGGTGAACTGGCGACGGCGAACTGGCCACGGCGGACTGGCCACGGCGAAATGGGCGGACCCGCAGGGGAAATACGAATTTTCGTGGACTTTAAACTGTAAATAGTGTAATAATTTGTGGTGGTTGTACGTAACCAACCCTTGAAGATATTTTTGCCTCGTTAGGGGGTACCTAGCCGTTTTAGTATCATTGATCTAAAAGGGAGCTTATCAACAGTTAGAAGTAGATCCACAATCGAGTCCGTTAGTTACCATTAATCCGCATAAAGGGCTCTTTGAGTTTAAAAATCAAAAGACTAACTCATGGTAGTAGTTCTCCCCGGCTATATTTTCTACTGCCATGTCTACTATTTTGTCAACACCTAGATGATTATATTCTTGTGTTTTGTGATTCTTTACAATCTTGTTATAAAAACCTTATAAAAGCTTAAAGTTGTTTACAAGAATAGAATGTAAATGCAAATAAAAACAATAGCACATTTTTTTAAATTCTTAAAAAATGCGCTAAATATTGCTAGTTTTTAAAAACCAAGTAGACTTTTTAGATCATCGCATTGATGAGGTTGGAATACCTACACCTACTTTACCGAATACAATGTATAAAGAAGACCTCAAAATGTTACACAACTTAAGCCATATTTTTATTTAGGTTTGCTCAATTATTATGGTAAATTTTGCCCTATGCTGTCCACAGTGTTACAACGTCTTTACGATTTACGTAAAAAAGGTGGGATAAAAACTGCGATGCATACCCTTTATATTGTTAACTTGTGACGCTAGTGCCTATGGGGTAATCCTCAGTCATAAAATTAATGGGTTAGAGAGACCGATAATATTTATTTCCGGTACGTTATCAGAGTTAAGAGAGGCTTTGGCTTTGATTTTTGGTTAAAAAAAATTTCATACATTTTTGTATGGGCGTAAATTTACGTTAGTGAGTGATCATCAACCATTAAAGTTTACATATTTAATAAAAATAGAAGACTGCACCACGAATAGTAGGTACCTATGTTGGACAGTTACATTGTCTGATTATTATGATATTGAATCCAAAAAAGGTCATCGATAGCACATGCAGATGCATTATCACGTTAACCAGATGAGCCCACAGTTACTTTCATTTAATACCGTGGATGAAATCCCACTGCACGCTGGCGTTCTAGCACATCATACATTAATAGATAAGGTGTTAAGTAAGGTTGTACAGTATACTCTTTTAGATTGGCCAAATTCTTTGAGTTCCATTGAATTAAATACATTGTTTAAAGTCAGACATGATTTATCTGTTGATCAAAATTGTCTTTTATTGGGAAATAAAGTTGTACGAACATGTTGGAGTGGTTAGGTCTAAATTGCTATTGAGATCATATTGTTTGTGGCCATGCATTAATGAGGGTTTGGAACAATTTATTAGTAAATGTGAGATTTGTCAGCTTAATCAGAAGTGCAGCAAATCATCATTGGTTTCCTGGTCTCCATAGATTAATAATTTCAAAGAGTCCAGATCTGTTTTATAAATTTCGTTATACTTTTCTAATTTTGGTAGATTAAAAATCTAAAGCTTCAAGTAAAGCTGATGGACGAAGGTACTTCAGCTAAATAAACCATATTAAAGTTAAAATAAGTATTACAGTGTTTTCGGACTTCCAGTATCACTTGTATCAGATAATGGTCCTCTCAATGGTGCTATACTAGGCCATGTTTGTAAGTTATCCATATATCAATTATCTGAAGAACACGTCTAGGGGTCTTTGACGATCTACTGTATCTGTTGAGCTGCATGGCTTTGAAAAGTAGCCCTCCCAAAACTTATTGTATTAATGATGTCGTAGAATACCATATCAACTTGGAAGAAATGGACGCCAAGAGACGCGGGACCCGGCGGACGCATTTCCGGTTCGGTCTGCGGTCTTGATCCGAAGTACTGCGACGCGCCCGCAAGCGTGCATCCCTACGAGTGGCCCGATGACATTACGAAGTGGCCGATCTGTCGCAAAACGAACACGCAGTTTTCAATCCAGAAGCACGTCCCGAAGGACAAATCGGCCGAGCACATGATCTGCGAGGTGATCGGTCATCCGTGCTGCATCGGCATTCACGGCATGTGCAAGATCACGACGAAGGAGTACTGCGATTTCGTGAGCGGGACGTTTCACGAGGAGGCGTCGCTTTGCTCGCAGGTAAGTCCACGGTGACCGCACAGGCGACGTGTGCGTAATTCGGTTTTCAGGTTTCGTGCTTGGACGACGTGTGTGGAATGGTGCCGTTTTACTTTCCCGAAGTTCCCGATCAGTTCTATCGATTGTGGACGTCGCTCTTCCTGCATGCCGGTATTCTACAGATGCTAATCACCGCGGTGCTCCAGTGTCTGATGATGCGGGACTTGGAGAAGCTTACGGGAAGTTTGCGGATCGCCATCATTTATTTAGGGTCGGGAATCGCCGGGAATCTGGCGAGCGCCATCTTCGTACCTTACCGGGCCGATGTAAGTTGAAACGCTGGCGTATTTTATCACCGGTAATGTACTTTTCAGGTGGGACCATCGGGATCTCACTTTGGACTGTTGGCCTGCCACATTGTAGAAGTCTTAAACGCGTGGCCAATGCTAAAGCATCCTAATCAAGCCTTATGCAAACTCCTTTCGATCACCTTGTTCCTCTTCGTGATTGGGCTAATGCCTTGGGTCGATAATTACGCTCACTTGTTCGGGTTCGTTTTCGGTTTTTTGCTTTCGTACGCCCTCTTACCATTCATCACTTTCGGACCATACGATAGGCAAAAGAAAATTGTTTTAATTTGGGTTTGTTTATTATCGGCTGCGTTTCTTTTTATCTGCTTAGTTCTCCTCTTTTACATTATACCAGTTTATGACTGTGAAGTGTGTTCATATTTCAACTGCTTACCGATTACTCGCGATTTTTGTGCTTCACAAAATATTAACTTTAAGAGGGAAGAGTACATAGTATGACAAATATTTTTACGGTTATTAACCGTACTGTTTATACCCATTTTCGTACTTATTTTTTCTGTATTTATTATCGACCGTGCAAAATCCTTTCTTACCACTCGGATTGCCCCCCTACCTTTCTCCTTAGTACTTACCTAATTGTCAGTGAAGACGTTAACAGAAAAAAAGTAACAAATAAACTCAGTATCTATGTGAAATTCAAATATATTTATGGATGAATGTTACAAGTGAAAAAAAAACGCCTAAAAACTCTTGTTTGTGATAATTTTCCAAAAGACTCTCTTGAATTTAAAAATATGAAAAAACGTAGTGTGAGAACTGATAAAAACCCATGTGATAAAGACGATATCTGTACTTAAGACATTTTATTTATATATTATTGTAAAAATATGTGCAATGAATTTCTTTGGTTGGCAACGAAATTTCAGCTGTAAAATGCAAACTGATTTGCTGCTATGCTTGAAACGCCCAATCCCATTACGAACAATAATTTTTTTAATTCTTGATGGTACTCCGTTACAATACACTTTAGTCTGATTTCGACAGTGCTATGTGTACGAACAGCTCAGATTTTAAGTAGTGCCAAGACCGATAATTGAGTTTTTGAAACGTACAAGTCGGTTCGTCTGACCGAAATCAGTGTAAGGTGTGATCCTTTAACACTTGCTAGTTTTTATAAACAGGGAGCGTAAAAATTGCGAGGACCGGGATGTAGATGTTGAATTTTTAAGCGTGACCGCCGAGCGTTCCAGATATGTATTAAAGCTAATATTATCTACAATAAAAAACTTATTTGTATGTGTTTATTGATACATTTATCATTAACGTAAATAAATATTTTCATCACTATAGATATATTGTAGGTCTGTATAAACATATTGTGTACGAATAATTCATGATTGTATATATAAAAAATATCGCGTACGAACTGACCATGTTTACTTTGACGTGACGTTGTTGAACCCAAATTATTCAAATTTAAAAAGACTACCTACCTATAGGATTACTTTCGCGATTATATTTTGCAATTTTTTGGCATGTCTCGTTTGCCGTTGTGAACGAAACACGCAAAAATAGCTTCCATTGTAAGATTCGTGCGGGCGGCTACAAAAGAACCATCAAATTTTATTTTTTGTTTTCGGTTGGGCCAATTTGTAAATATTTTTGCGGCACTCTACAGCCGCGAAACGTTCAATTCAGTGGATGAGCGATTATATTTGTTTATTAAACAAAAGCCCAAATGTGTAAAATATAAAATCAATTTTGTATAATGTTAGCCGACTTTCTTTTGTAAATGTGTAGAATTTATTTTTAAATTTTTGGACTGATAGGAGTAATGTTAAATATCAGGTACACTGCAATTGTACAAAAGTTGCTAAACCTATTATAATATGGTACAGCTTCGTTGTATGTACCTACTTGTTCGTTCATTTTGATATACTTGTATTGTGCCATTGGTATGTTGTATTAATGCAATGTTTTCTTTTGTAAGTGTAAGAGCATTAGTGGAACGGTTTATATTTGTATTACCCAATATGTATATTTTCTGGGCGCGAATTTTGAAATGTTGGATTGATACAACTCAAAAGTTTTTGTTCTAATCTACACCACTTCAACAATTGTACAGTTACATTGTAATACCACATCAGGTGTTATACTTAAGACCAAGCCTTAACATTATACTGATATAATAAATTACTTCTGCACATAAATAAAAGAATCACATTTTTAATTACCTTCTTTTCTAGTGGATTATACGGTTGGAAAATGGCCATGCCTTAGGTCACTTGTCCAAATCAGACATTTCAGTTGGGCGAGTGAAGCATCCTTGGACAGGTTTTTAAGTTGATTATCTGTATTTCATCGCCAAAGGCGCACATAAATGGTACCCTGACAGCGTATGATGGCTCAATAAGTAATTATGCATATTAGTCCAAAAGTTGTCTCGATTTAAGGCTGTGGCTTCCAAAATATTTTTCGTGGCCATTCCACTGGAGTGACAACCTAAACCACTAAAGTATTGTAGCAAATATTCCAGAAATCTCGATAGACATGGAGGCGCCATGAAAGATTAGTCATCGACGATTAAGAACGAAGGCGAATATGTGACGCAATCATTCCGAGTACAGTACTTGGTTGAGGGAGCCCACTGATCAGTGGCGGATTTACCAGCAGGCGGAGTAGGCTGGAGCCTGATTTTAGAGGGCGGAAAATTTGGCCCAAAAATGTTTGTCTTACAGAAAAATAACCAATATTATACAGGGTGAGTTTTTTTTTTCATTTTCACTATGGGGATCTCGGTAAAACGGCTTAGTTTTCAAGACTGACTAACGTTTTTCCATATTTATCTCAAATTTTTTATCAGCACATACTGATAACTTTGTATTTTTCTAATTAGACAGAAAGAAGGAATTTATTGGTGCAAAAACATATTATATATTCCATTTGAAAAAACAATCTTTGGTACTGTATTTTAAAAACTAAGTAAGCCTATGGAAAATACAAAAATATCCCCTTACTAAGGGATCAATTATACATAACTTTTATTATTTCTACTTTTTTGATATTCCCACAAAAATAATTCGTGAAATACTTGAAATTTAATTATATCAAAAAAATAGATATACAATAATATATTGTTTGTATTGAAAAATATGAGACTATGCCCATTAGACCGTTGTCACCGACGTTCTGGTGGGCATAGTGGTCCCTGTTATGTTACTTCTCATGCCTGATACTCGGACGGCTTCCATACTGATGCTAAACCATTGGGACGAGTGGAAGATCGAGGTAGTCTTGGGCACGGCCGGATCTGGAAGGAAACCCTCATATCCAATCCTCTCCTTGCAAGAAGTGACAAGGCCCCTTGGCAAATCTGGGTCTTCTAGCTTCTAAAACTCACTAGGAGCCATGATTAGGAAGATCACCAGTGCCTTTACTAGATTGTCAACTATGCACGTGCAGGTTCTGTGGTGAGTCAGATGAAACTGCCAAGCATGTGTTCTGTCATGGTGACGCTTTGATCAGAGATCAGCTCCTTGGCGACAGTTACTTGGAACCGGGGAGGATGAAGCAACAGCTAAATAGGGTCCTATACCTTTATTGAGAGGAACCTGCTCTGAACTTAGTTCCCAAAGAAAGAGGGTAGGCACAATGAGCATTTGGTGTGCCTAAGTGCTGCCTGGATGGTTAGGCTCAAATGAGAATTGAGGCATTTTTTGAAAATAGAACCATATAATTGGTTGTTATGTACTTCGCATGGATTATTCATTACAATGGTTTCATGTTCCCAATAATTCATTTGTTTACCCGCGGAAAGAATGAATACAATCATGAAAACTCCCTATTTACTTATTTACATAATTGTAAATACAATTAAATGCCGTACGTAAGGGCCAGGGCCGCCGTTAGCCTCGACGGCCCCCGGGAATATTTTTTGATCGGGCCCCTATAATTGAAATTTTTGTTGTCTCTTGTCACCCATATCTCCCCCCAGAGTATAACCGGGCCCCGGGGCAAATGCCCCGGCTTCTCCCTCTTATCGGCGGCCCTAGCTGCCTGTAGAATCCATAATTCAGTTCCAAGATTGGGCTAAATTGGTTTCTAGTAGTATAACTTTTGATTGAGAAGTCTGATCGAAAAAGTACGAATTGTTTTGGATTCTACGCACCAAAATTAATAAGAAAAAGTGTTTTCCCGAGAAATTTTGGTGCAGTCGATTTTTGGTAAAAAAAGAAGGTTATACACTGCCTTTTTTTGAGCCCCGAAAAAAAAATTGTCTCAGATCGACCCGGAAAAAAATTTTCTCATAGAATGTGGCCTGTAGAATCCATAATTTCAAACAGTTCCAAGATTGGGCTACTAGTTCAAAAGTTACAGCCCTTTGAATTTTCTTTCGAAATTGGTTTCTAGTCTATAACTTTGATTGAGAAGTCTGATCGAAAAAGTACGAATTGTTTTGGATTCTACGCACCAAAATTAATAAGAAAAAGTGTTTTCCCGAGAAATTTTGGTGTAGTCGATATTTGGTAAAAAAGGAAGGTGCCTTTTTTTGAGCCCCAAAAAAAATTGTCTCAGATCGACCGGGAAAAAATATTTTCTTATAGAATGTGGCCTGTAGAATCCATAATTTCAAACAGTTCCAAGATTGGGCTACTAGTTCAAAAGTTACAGCCCTTTGAATTTTTTTTCGAAATTGGTTTCTAGTCTATAACTTTTGATTGAGAAGTCTAATCGAAAAAGTACGAATTGTTTTGGATTCTACGTCCCAAAATAATAAGAAAAAGTGTTTTCCCGAGAAATTTTGGTGCAGTCGATTTTTGGAAAAAAGGAAGGTAATACACTGCCTTCTTTTGGGGCCCGAAAAAAAATTGCCTCAGATCGACCGGAAAAAAATTTTCTTATAGAATGTGGCCTGTAGAATCCATAATTTCAAACAGTTCCAAGATTGGGCTACTAGTTCAAAAGTTACAGCCCTTTGAATTTTTTTCCGAAATTGGTTTCTAGTCTATAACTTTTGATTGAGAAGTCTGATCGAAAAAGTACGAATTGTTTTGGATTCTACGCACCAAAATTAATAAGAAAAGTGTTTTCCCGAGAAATTTTGGTGCAGTCGATTTTTGGTAAAAAAGGAAGGTAATAACTGCCTTTTTTGAGCCCCGAAAAAAAAATTGTCTCAGATCGATCCGGAAAAAAAAAATTCTTATAGAATGTGGCCTGTAGAATCCATAATTTCAAACAGTTCCAAGATTGGGCTACTAGTTCAAAAGTTACAGCCCTTTGAATTTTTTTTCGGAAATTGGTTTCTAGTCTATAACTTTTGATTGAGAAGTCTAATCGAAAAAGTACGAATTGTTTTGGATTCTACGCACCCAAATTAATCAGAAAAAGTTTTTTCCCGAGAAATTTTGGTGCAGTCGATTTTTGGAAAAAAAGGAAGCCTTTTTTTTGCCCCGAAAAAAAAATTGTCTCAGATCGGCCCGGAAAAAAATTTTCTTATAGAATGTGGCCTGTAGAATCCAAAAAAATATTTTCTTATTGAATGTGGCCTGTAGAATCCATAATTCCAAACAGTTCCAAGATCGGACTACTAGATCAAAAGTTAGAGCCCGTTGAATTTTTTGTCGAAATTGGTTTTTTGCCCATAAATATACCTATTATTCAAAGTTTTCGTTGAGTAATTAAAGCAAAAGCAATAAAGGGGCCTGTCAGCAGTAAGAAAATACCGTTCTAATCTAATCCCCCCCCCCCCTTCTAGTACGCACTGGGTGACTGTATGTGCCACGAACTTGTTTAATCCCCCCCCCAGAATAAATTTCTACGTACGCCACTGGAATGATATACATAATGTAGTTTGCGGTTTGGGTTCTGGCACCTATTTTGACCAGGATAATGATATAGTCAACGGTGGTATGTTTGGGGATACTTATTGTTCGTTTAGGGCTTCGACACATTATGCAAATAACAATAATATTCAGGAGTCATGAAATTAATCACATTCGGCACTTATGTAAATAAATCTCACCGCATCGCACAAGACGATAACAAAAATCACAACTGAATCTTGAGGTCACCTCCCTGCGGGTTGTTAAAATATAAAATACATGTGGTAAGTTCCATTCCAGCTTCTCTTTCTCACTCGAAGAAAAAACATAGTGCGCCCTCTTCCTTGTGCAATTTAGAATTGTTAGATTCGCGCCAAAACATATCCAGTGACATAGCTTGGGGTCTTTCCCTTTAGTTAAATGCGTGAACGGTTCAAGGCAAGTTGCAAATGTTTGTTTTCACTTTTTCTCTTCTTCGGTTTGCATATAAAACACTGTAGGCTAGCTTGGGGGACCCCCTAGGATCATTACACATTCAAATCCGAAACAAAACTAGAGTTGCCCTCTGATAATCACGTGAGTAGCTCTAAGGCCTTCGGTGATTACAAGGAAAATGAGCTACTGAAAACCTTCGTTTCCAATTTTCATTTGTCAAATACACTGGCAAAGTCTATAATAAAACAAAAAAGAATTGTAAATACATAATTTATTCGTTAAAAATAAATAAAATAATGTTAGCAGTATTTGTTCGTACTTTTTAATCTCATGTCAATCAACGTAAGAAGACAGTAGTAACTAAATCATTATATATTTAGATCTTACACCGTTATAGAATTATTAAATCGTTTACACTCAATATTTCTCTTTTTAAGGACAAAATATATTCATCGATTAGTACACTCTACATCAGGTTTGGACTTTCTGTCAAAAGGTTAAAAATGAATCGACGATGATTACAAAAACAACTGAAGCTGCGTAATTTAAATGCGTCAACATTCACACCGGGGGGTTTGAGAGTAAAATACAAAATTTGAAACATTAAAAGGTATACAACAAATAACATGTAGAATATACACACAGTTTTATAAATCGTTCAGGGTCCGTGTAACTGTTGACGAACAATCGACACGGAATGTTATTAAACTATATCTCTGGTCTCTGATGCAGAGAAACGAAACGCACTCATTCGGCAATGCGAGAGTGCCAGCACCGACCCTATACGGATATTTCGTAGTTCATATCATATACACTAGCGCGATCGGGCGTCGACGGGCGTCCGGGTAAGTGTCCCGTGCATTGGGACGTCGGTCCCGTCACGTCCACGGTATCGGACATTTCCAGCGCCCTCACGAACGACATCGGACGTCTCCTATTGTCAGGCACTGTCGCGGTTCCGGCGCCTAACTGCGTCTTACGGTGCACCTGCGGACTTTGAGGCGGATAAACTGATACGCCGCCTCTTATTGCTGGATGATATGATCTAGGCGCGGTGTAAGTAACCTGCTGTGTGGGACTGGTGGGATTCGATCGGTAAAAGTCTTGCGTTTGAGCGGGCGGGGGATAGCCGGGCGACGTGTCCTTCCACATGTACACGCCGCGCTGCGGAGAGTTCGCCAACTCCCTGATGTTGTCGACGGTATTATTCGAGCGCGGATACGACAGCTGGGCCTCCTGCCTCACCAGCTCGCCCTCGGACATGAATCGCCTCTGCGGGCTGCCGTAACCCTGCGACGCCATCTGGCGTTGTACCTGATTGGACTGATTTTGGAATTCGTAGTACGGATTCGGCTGGTGATTGGTCGCGGCTACACCGATGAAGTCTGGCCGACGGGGCTGCGTGGGAGTGCTCGGGTTAGATCTGCGAAGAGCAAGCAACTACTCATATTCTAGCAATCATAACCTCTAAAGCTGAAGCCAAGCTTCATCTCTAGCCGACTGAAGTTAGTTCACAAAATTATACATAGAGTGCGTTTCAAAATCATAGTATCATAGCATACAAATTATTTCTTAGGCTACACCCGCATCGATTTCCACAAACCTTCAAGGTGTTATTAATGTAAAAGGTGGTACAATACAGGAACAAAGCAGATATAGAGTTGGAGGGGCGCTTTGCAGTATTTAAAATTATTTGTACCGCTTCATAGTAAACGTGAACGAAAGTATGTCTAGAAATAAGAGCGATAAACGGTGTGCGCGAGCTCGATCGTGTTCCCACTTCTAATAACCGCTGCGACAGAAAGGTAGAGGCGCTTGAGAGCGTATGGTACGACACAAGAGCTCCCGGTTTCGCTAGGTTCCGTTTTCGGATTTTCCAACAATGGCTGCCGCATCTTGTTGCGGTTCAATACATTGAAAGAAATTGTTCAAAAGTAACTTTTTTTGATTTTTGAAACAATGGAAAGCTTCTTTGAATTTTCAAAAACGTAACCAGAATTAGTTCCCGGATCTCCATTCTTCCCGGAAATATTTAGCGTCCTTTATTAAAAACTATAACAGAGCCCTTAGATCCGAACGTTTTGGGGAAGAATGTATCACTGGGGGGGTCGGGAATATCTCCCAGCAACCCGTATGTGTAAGGAAATGAACAACGAATTTCCATCGAAAGGACAGGAAAACCACAACACCGATAAATAGATATCATGCCGTAAAAGAGCGGTTAACCAAGCGCGTTTATACGCATGCGCGTCTTTTCCTCCCCCGACACTTACCTCCTTACGGGACTGGAGAGCGCGAGCGGAGTTGGCACACCGAGCGCCTTAATGCGCTGCTGCATCGTGGGGGAAGGTCTCTGCGTGGTAAGGCTTTCGGGGGTACCGCTCCGAGTCGGATCTAATCCGCGCGGTCTCGGATGCGGGCTACATCTAGGATAGTGGCGGGGATGTCTAGGCGATTCCCCTTCTACTGGAGGTAAGAAGAAATTGCTTTTAGAACCGTGTCGTTGCAAAGGTGGTGTTGGTTCGCAGTCTTGTGATTGAGACGCAGTCGGTTCCATATCCGGATCGGAACCATCTCGTCCTGGTGATAACTGCAATATACCTTTGCTATTAGTGTCTGTTTTTTCAATATTTATTTTGTATTTAATCTCAAAATTATCATTTTTTTTTCCAAAAACGAACTTGAGAATCATTGAATGCGTTTGAATAATCAAAAAAAATTTTCATTATAATTTTAATTTAATTAATTTAAAATTAATTTTGATTTAATTTCATTTTTTTAATTTAATTAATTTTTTTGTAATTTTAATTACATTATTATTTAATTTAATTTATTTATTAATAATTTTAATTTTATTTTTTCTAATTTAATTAATTTTTTAATATTTTTAATTTCATTATTATTTTAATTTAATTAATTATTTTAATTTTTTTCTCACAATGAGTAAAATTAGTGCTGGCTGGAACTTTTCCGCCTTTCTGGAATTTCTTTTTTTGAAAACGTAGGGAAAGCATAAGAAACTGAGACCAAGACTTACCTTATTATAAGCGTTTGAATTAATATTTCGAATACCATTACTATTATCCATGTACGTCTTAACCTGATTGTCGTTCGTAATTGTAGCGATTGGACCGTGCGAGCAGTGCTTTCGTTTAACGTTGTATTTACTCGGTTTAATCAAACTGAAACGAAAAATTGCCGTTAAGTCTTACCGAAGTCGAGGCCGGCGTACGCTCACCTGGGAAACTGAGGTCCGCACTGCGTATAGCAGCAATTCTCCCAACAACCGCGCGAGAACGGGTTGTAACCGCCTCGAAATTTACCCGTAACTTGTTCGTTCGTCGTGCGACCTCGAGAAACTAAAACGACATGGAAGCCCGTGAGTCCGAGTATCGGAATCGCGAGTAACATTACCAGTCCCATTAGGACCATACTGCAAGTCGGGCTAAGGACAATAATTATTGCGTGGTTGCATCAAGTTAGCGATAAAATTTAACAAAAGACTGATAAATTGAAAAAATCAAGAGGGTTGAGAAGTATTCATTTTATTGTCTACAATATACAGGGTGTTCCATTAAAAAAATGCTTGCTGGGAAAAATACGAAATCAAACGCGCTAGGTGTTAGAGAGCTAACTCCTCTCCACCCCACGCACTTTTTTAAGGAAATCCGAACAATTTAGAATTTTTAAAATGTCAATGTCATCGCCGCTTATTTTCCAGAGCAGTCGCCGTTTGGAAACTGTTGGTTTCAACAGGACGGTGCACACTGGCGCACAACGGCCTATCTTTTCAAGACATCCTTACCTTGGACACAGTGTATAATCATATAAAAAAAGTGTAGGTTGTGATAGATCAACGTAATCAGGAAAAAAAATTGACGTTAAGATGTACAGGGTGGACAAATAAGAATGCGAGGTACTGTATCTGGGAACTTGTCCATCGTAGAGGCTTGCGGTAAAAAAATTTATTACTAAAGAGGCCACGAGAATAACCTAGAAAATATTTTTAAGTTTCTGCAATGGCCGCTAGGGGGCGTAACTGCAATCTGGAATCTAAAAAAGTGATTTTTCTGTGAATTCCGCTATATTAACCTAACAAAAAAATGTCCGGTCTTTGAAGACGACGATAATCTGAATCTTTTTTGTTTGACAATTTTTCCTGTATCATTAAAAATGAAGTGGTGGGGGGTATTCGAAGGTTTCCGTAAAGAACACCCTGTATCTTCGAAACGACTGAGCCGATTTTAACAAACTCGGGTTAAATGAAAAGAGTTATTCTTCGGCTACAAATATTATACTATTTGAAGTTTAGTTAGTTTGGCATATCGCCGCTTGAGGGCTTTTTTCGACATTCCGACAGAAATGGTTAATTTTCTCAAAAAAATTAAATGCGTTGGTTCGATTTTTTTTAAATGAAAAAGTAGCTAAATGATGCCTAAACAACCTCGCGAAAACCGCATCTCGATATCTTGTTCCTAACCTAAAATTTAAGCCAAAGAAAATTTTATACCCTCAAAATTTTATTTTTTTAAGATAATTTTTCAGGAATTATTTTTATTATATAATTTGTGGCCCTAAGGTGGATCGATTTAAAAAAGGAAGCTTTTAATACCGCCGTAAATGCTCGAAATGCTGACCATCACGATATAAAATATATATATCTCAAGATATCGAGATGCTGTTTTCGCGAGTTTGTTTAGGCATCATTTAGCTACTTTTTCATGAAAAAAAAATCGAACCAGTCCATTTAATTTTTTTGAGAAAATTAACCATTTCTGTCGGAATGTCGAAAAAAGCCCTCAAGCGGCGATATTTGAAACTAACAAAACTTCAAACAGTATAATATTTGTAGCTGAAGAATAGCTCTTTTGAACTAACCCGGGTTTGTTTAAATCAACTCAGCCGTTTCGAAGATACAGGGTGTTCTTTACGGAAACCTTTGAATACCCCCCACCACTTCATTTTTAGAGATACAGGAAAAATTGTCAAACAAAAATTGTTCAGATTATCGGTAACATTTTTTTGTTAGGTTAATATAGCGGAATTCACAGAAAAAATCACTTTTTTAGATTCCAGATTGCAGGTACGCCCCCTAGCGGTCATTTCAGAAACTTAAAAATATTTTCCAGGTTTTGCTCGTGGTCGTTTTAGTAATAAATTTTTTTACCGCAAGCCTCTACGATGGATAGATTCTCAGATACAGTACCTCGTATTCTTAGTTGGCCACCCTGTACAAGGCGTTGCATATAAAAAATACCAACTTTGAGTCAAATCTCAGAAACGGTGGTCCCACAATTTTTTTTACTATGCCACTGGATTCTACGTAAAAATATCTAAAATAGGCAGTTTATATCGTCCTAAAAGGTCAAACTTTTCGTTTTCACCCTGTATCTCAGAAACAAACGTAGGTAGACTGATTCTGTTTGTGCAAGCCCATTACCCCATGCGGTCTTTTACCCACGTATACGTCGAGATTGACTAAGACAGAGGCTATGGGTATATTAGTGCTTTTTTGAGCCGAATCAAGTTTCTTCTCGCTCTTTGCCTTTTCGAATATTTAATCGACATTAAAACAATGGAAACGAAAAAATGACAGTCGTGTTATGAAAAACACATTGCCTGGGAATATTTTGAAAATTAATGTAATAATAAACAGGCGGCAACGACCCAAACTAAGGCTTTGTCGAGATTGCGCATTTGTATGATAATAATATGATAGAATATTCCGCATATTTTGAATTATACAGGGTGCAATCACAAAGTTGCTTTAACGAGCTTATAATCGACACAACACCGCTAAAAAGGATACGCAATAATCGGTTCCAATTCGGCCAGCTTATCTTTGCTGTGCAAAACGAATATCAAACTTAAAGTAAAGATGCTGACCATGTGTACGCTAAGCGAGATCAAAAAGAAAAAGAAAAATCTGTAATTTCTTCGCCCGATGCAGTTGTTCACCCACGGGCAGTGATGGTCGAAGGTCTAAAAAACAGACAGCGTTCAACGCGTTCTCTCGCGACAGACTCGTTTACCTCAATGCAATGATTACAGACGCTACAGTGCGAGCATCGAGGCGGACGATAAAATTTACACGTAACGCACCACTTCATTCGCACCGTGATGCCGTTAATATCGACCTGCTTGTGTAGCGGTGCCCTAAAGTCGTCCTCACGATCTTCGTCGGGCGGAGCTGAAAGTTGGACGTTAATTAAACGGTAAAGTGACGCGAGTGTAACCTTTCGGTATTACTCCGGGATCCATGAACGTTGCCAACGTAAAATTTGCTAAAACGAAAAAGGTGATCACTCCTTGATATGCGGGCACCCATGGATAACGAAAGATGTAGTACTGAGCGCTGGAAGAAGACGATTAGAACTTTCGGATTTAAAATATGTTTACTTACGGAAAGTAGAAAAAAAGTGTGGTAGCGCCTAATAAAATCGCCCAAGCAAATGTGGCAGGTATGTATCTTGTCTTCATATCGCACTTTGGCATAGTTTCTTTTTTGCTAGGAATTAATTTTAAAAATCGACATAAAAATGAAAAATCATATCGTCGAGGTCAACATGGCTGCAACAAGCGTGCGAAGTTTTCTCGGTTCAAAAAAATAGGCAAAACGCGAACTCACCTGACATTAGGTACGTAAGTGTTCGCATTCAACGATGATAGGTAGGCCCACGTCACACAGGGAATACCATGAGTGTCTCATTTAGGCTGTATGTAAGTTGCCTATTGTCAATCGACAAATTTGGCCATTTATAATATTCATTTGTGATTGATGGCAAAAACATAAACTTAGACCAATTATAATGCACATTTACTATCTGTATAAACCAAGCGGCGCGGCGGAAGCTATCTTTTCGCGCTTTTGAGAAGCGGTTTTTCCAAGATATCTTATCTACTAATGAAGTAGGATCTCAACATCTCAACTAAACTTGTAATACTATAACATGAAAGAAAGTGTATCGATTACCAAGGAGATGGCGCACTTATACATGTTATATTTAAACTAATTCTTCAAAAACCGGAGCATTAAACTACGATTGCTCTACAGATTATGCAAGATTCCGTCCATCTTGAAGTGCCATTTAACGAAAACTAAGTCCAAGGCGGCTATTAATCGCATAAATTCAAAGGCAATTTCAAATGAAGTTACGTACGTGGCGACATCTCAACTAAACTTAAAATACTATAACGTGAAAAAAGTGTATCGATTACCAAGGGGATGGCGCACTTGTAGATATCATCATTGAATTAACAATATTATATTTAAACTAATTAATCAAAAACCGGGGCATTGAACTACAATTGCTCTACAGATTTTGCAAGACACCGTCCATCTCCATAATTTCAAACAGTTCCAAGATTGGGCTACCAGTTCAATAGTTACAGCCCTTTGAATTTTCTTTCGAAATTGGTTTCTAGTCTATAACTTTTGATTGAGAAGTCTGATCGAAAAAGTACAAATTGATTTGGATTCTACGCATCCAAATTAATAAGAAAAAGTATTTCCCGAGAAATTTTGGTGCAGTGCAGTGACATCCCAAGAAGCAAACGAACATTAGTACATTTTGTAGTAACACTTTGTTAAACGATTTCTGTGGTTATTTATCCGCTGTATAACTTAGGTATGCATGCATTCATTCGTTTATGCCCTTGAGAGCAGTTCTAAGTAATTCAACATTTTAGCAACAAATACATTTATGTAAATAAGTTAACTCTCCTCTGCCATACAATACAATGTTAAGGTAAACCATTAAAATGTGATTAAGAAATAGCACTTAGAAAAACTTTACACCCTCCAGGTCATCCGACGTGATGACTTCACACTTTCCTTCGCCTTCCAAAACACGAAGCGCTTTCACCAACACATCAGTCTCGAGTCCGCAGAATTCCTCGTCCTGTACGTCCTCGCCTTGCGTAAGCTCAAATAACGTCAGAACCGAACCGGTTGCTCCCCTATTCGTCACATAATTATAGATCAAGTTGCCCCACTCCTCGAGCGTGTGCCAGTAAATCTCCCAGCGATGCCTCTGCTTGTCGACGGGCGCCGCATTTTGGGTCCTCTGCAGGTCGGACAGCGCGGCCAGTATGAACTCGTTGTCGAGCTTACGATTTATGCTCGCGTTGTTAAATAGGGGATGGTGCGACGCCTCGCGTATATCCAAAGTGCACGTCTTGGCGAATCTAAAATAGTCCAAAATTAGGGCGCGCCAAACGGATATCTGTCGGGCCCTAGTCTCGCTGTGCGGCTGCAAGGTGAAGAAGGGCGGAAAGCTGTGCTGCCACGGAAATTCGAACTGTTCTGGCATTTTATCCATACAAAAAAGCCATTTGATTCCGACAAAATTAAAAAATTTTAAGTGAGGTTAGAGTATTTCAATCACAACTGCAGTGGCTCCCATGTCGACGTATGTAAACCTATGTTTACACAGTTCGTATTGAATAAGTACCTTAAAGAAGAGAATTGGTGTAAGGTGTGTTGCATACACTGCAAAGTTGTTAATTACTAGAAATATTCAAGGATATTTGGCCGCCAGCAGTAAATAACGACTATTTGAAACAAGGAAACCCGTTATATTTACGGGCTCAACGTTAGGATTTTAAAGAGGTAAAGAAACTTAGAAAGTCGGTAATTAATTTCAAATTTGTGATTCACTTTCGCCCACAACAGAGGGACTATTTTTGCAAAATGCGAGGTTTCTATTAACAAGAGAAGTCTCATAAAAAACTCTTAATCTAAAAGATTATTAAAATACCTTGTAGTGTACTTAACCCCCAGGTTCTACACTAACTTCACATTACAAAAACACGGAAATAAAATCAACCAGGCAAAGTTTAAAAATGGCCACCAGAATGACAATTCCCTCTAAAACTAAACAAGATCCCGCTTAAATTTGAAAAGTGGCACGTGAAAAAAAATCTAAGGCAGAGCCCCCTTACGTTAGTTGTAGACAACGCCTTGACCTGAAGCACAATAGGGAAGGAACGTTAAATAAAACACTGAAATTGTGAAAAGTTTGTTTAATAATGATCGTAATTATTATGATTGTGAAAACCCGGAAATTTAGTTGATGTACATTAATGTAAACAAAACAAACAAAGCCAAAAGGTGTCGTACTCTCGCAAAAGTCACTGCCAAGGATAAAAAGAGTACGACGTAAGAAAAACCTTGCAGTTTGATTAAAACAGTCCAAAAGTTAATTAACAAAATATTTTGTAAAAGTTTTAAGCAGTAGTTAACAAAGATAGTAAATGCATATACACAATGTTGGTTACACTCAAGGTTAAAGCAAGTTTTTGGGGACAATGGGTCAGGTAGGAGCAGGTACCAAGATTCTGAGAAAGGGTAAAATACACAGGATGTGACTCATCTTTGGTGCAATAAAGTCCTTTTTAAAGCAAGATGGAAAATTACATGGCCTTGTAGGCAAATTTAACTAAAAACAAAATATGTGGAAATTATTGAATCTCCACTCATTTAACGCACATAGATTCTAAACTGAAGAGCTTTGATTAGCGTAATCTCGCTCCTGCAAGATGGGTAGTCCGCCCCTGGTTTCGGGGTTTCGAACCTACAGTTGGATGTCGAAGACAGTGCACGGAATTAGGTGCCCTAACACATAATTATAGACTACAGTTTCTTTTTCCACCTCCCGGACTGCTTCATTCACGGAGAAAATGGTTAGTAACAAACAACAAGTCAGTACATACATTAAACGAATCAGTAACTTCCACATTGAAATGAACCAAACTTACACGAATGTTACTTCAGGCACAAAACCAAGTAATCAACATCAATAAACATAAATGAAGCAAACATTACACCAAAAATGTAAACAATTACAAACAATAGCATAACGGTATCACACATATGATTGCATTGCGGTTAAACCAAGTAAATTTCAAAAACAAATATTCAAACACACAAAAATATAAAATGCGGCAAACAAAACACAAATACGATATAAAGAAATGCAAAAATTACTACCTGCATTAAATAACACAAAATAACAACAAACATTTATGGAGCGACGCGTTCACTACCGCCATTCAAGACAAGATGCCAAACGTAACTCCCGTTTGTGGTTCTTAGGTGGCGCAGGCAGCTTTTTTCCCACCTAGAAGTTGCATGGTTGCCAACTCTCAAAAATGTATGTATCGTCGTAAGTTGTATATACAGAGTGGAACCTCTCAACCTTTAACGGTTTTTAAAAACTCATAGAAAAACCGCACTTCTAAAAGCATATTTTAAAAACCCATAAATTTTAAAGACCCCTAAAAGCTGTTATAGACTCATTTAAAGTTTCTTAATGGTCTATTAATGTCCAAAGGGACATTTGCCGGCTTCTGTACTGTTGACTAGCTAGACGTAGCCTCTTCATCTCGGGAATCACAAACTCCTATGAAAATTTATAATTTCGACCGACTGGGCGAATGCAACCAAAATAACTTGCGGATTTTTAGCCACAAACTTTTGACACTTTTCCCTCATTTGAAACCAAACCTAAATTATGTACTTGCAATTGCAATGCGATTTATTTATAAGCAAAAGCCATTAATTGTTATTATGCACTAATGTAATCTGAATCAGAGATAAATAATGGATCAGGTGGAGGCGGTGAGTATTGACGTGCCAATTTACGCTTGCCACCTAACCCTATGTTCATTGTAGAGCTCCGTCGAATTCCTCGATTTGAGCGGTATTGAGGAACAAGAGCGAGCGGGGATCATAACATCGCTGCACTCGTCCAATCCTAAAATAAAATTACCGTGGTCGAAAACCTCCCAAGGTAAACGTCGGAGAATCAGGCTTACTTTAATTCGAACCGTTTCAGTGTACACGTGCGACGAAAGCACAACGTACGGTGAGTACGCAAATGGGGAACCACAGACGAATCACGACTCGAGTACCGTGCGGCAGCAACATACAAACGGGGTTGCGTCCGCGAGTTATGTTGCGATAGACGAGGTTGTACCGACAGCGAAATCGTGGGCTAGCTTGTTTAACAAAGGTGGCTCTCTGGCCGATAAGTTTTCCGTACGCGATCCAATGCCGTCAATTGTAGTGCCTCAGAAGTCCGATGTCAAACTTAAGAATGTGGCGAAAATCTCTCTCAAGGAGCCTTTCAAATCGCACTTTGACGATCCCAACTTGATTAGAATGGGAGGTCCGTTCCCTCATTTATGTCGACGTCGATTTATTAAGGTTTTCATTGCAGAGTTCCTTTCATCGTTCGCCGCGGACAGCCGCATAATTAGCCTGCAGCCGCGCGGTCTGATCAATCGAAGCAATTACTGTTACATCAACTCGATATTGCAGGCCATCTTGGCGTGTCCTCCCGTTTACAATTTGCTCGTGGGCTTAAGCGAGAGCACCTCGCCCTCGACCGAGAAGAAGCGTATCACGCCGACAATCGACAGCATGTACGTATTACGGTCGTTTATCGGGTCCGCTCTGACTTGCTCACGTCTAGGACAAAGTTCGTGCGCGAGTTCAATCACCTACCCGCCGGCATGCGAGTGGGACGTCGGCTGGATAAGAACCAGAAGAAGGAGCACAGCATTTTGATCAATTGCGATACGCCATTCGAACCGTTCTGGTTTCATAAGCTCCTGAGTGGGGTGCGTAGTGATACTTTCGTTGTAGAGGGACGACAGGAGGACGCCGAGGAGTTCTTGTGTTGTCTGCTTAACAGCTTGAACGATGAGATGTTGGAGGTGCGTCCGCCGGTTGTTAACCGCCCGTTTTTTAATCGCTTTCTTTACAGCTGATGAAACTAGTCGACAGTAGCAGCTTAGATACCCCGTCCATTGACTCCAGTTTCTCTTCTGACGAGGATAAGGAGTGGCAGGTTGTAGGGGGTAGGGGGTTCGGGGGGATTGTGACATTGGTTTTTGTTTGTTGCAGGTGATGGGACCCAAAAATAAAGGTGCGATCACCAGGCGGACGGAATTTAGTCGAACTCCCATTAGTGACATATTTGGCGGATCTTTAAGGTCGAGGTTACATCGGAGCGGAGATCAATCGACTGATAATATACAACCTTTCTTTACTCTACAGCTAAATATTGAGGTAATGATAGTCGCGTGAGTGAGAGAGGGGGGGTGGGGTGGGGGGGGGTATTTGTTTATAAGATACAGATCATTCTCATTAACTGAATGGTACTGGGTATGCATCATTGTTGAACACTGACACGTACAGAAGTGCCCTCTATTCTAGGAGGTGCCAACTCCCACCCTCGGCCGAAGGGGGTGGTGGCAAGACAAATTTGGGACCAAAAAGAGCCATAAAGCAGTTGTCACTAGATACAGGGATGTTTTTAAAAATCTATTAGACCAAAGGGAAGTTAAGTATACAGGGTTGACCAAAATGAATTAACCTTTTTGTACTTAAATGAAACACCTTGTATATTGCTCAAAGACACGCTATATCTAAATTTAACCGTTTTTAAGATGTTTACTTTTGAAAATTGCTCCATGGCATTTGATGAAGTAAGACCTGTAGTTGCTCGATCATTACTACGAGAGTAGCTCTAGGATCTTTATTGATTAAATGGAAGGAAAGAGCCAATTTCAAACGTAACGCCAATAAGGAACGGTTGAGATATCCCCTCTCCCATAAGAAAATTAGGCGCAAAAGAACTCGTGCACCTGCATCCTTTGTTATCTGCGCCGAGCACACGTGCGTCTTGAAATCAATTAAGTTTCGAGATAACAACGTCCTTATCGCACACGACCTGATAGCACTTAAATGCACTCCTCGGCCTGATGCTCCTTAATTATCATGCGAGTTAAATAAACAAATTTCCATGAATAATAAAATTGAAACAGCAAATTATAAAACAAAAAGAAGAAATGTACATAAAATAACAAATTCCGATGAAACAAACCAATTCTGTGCTTATTCGTAATGAAATCCTCAGTATACTGGATGACCCGTTATCCACCCGGTATTATTTCAGCCTAAGTAACGTCAACCTGACGTTCTTTACACAACATTATATAACATTTGTGTGTGGTAAGAGCTCAGACCCCCGCCATTTTCAATTTTTTTTCGAAATTGGTTTCTAATCTATAACTTTGGATTGAGAAGTCTAATCGAAAAAGTACGAATTGTTTTGGATTCTACGCACCAAAATTAATAAGAAAAAGTGTTTTCCCGAGAAATTTTGGTGCTGTCGATTTTTGGTAAAAAAGGAAGGTTATACACTGCCTTTTTTTGAGCCCCGAAAAAAAAATTGTCTCAGATCGACCGGGAAAAAAAATTTTCTTATAGAATGTGCCCTGTAGAATCCATAATTTCAAACAGTTCGAAGATTGGGCTACTAGTTCAAAAGTTACAGCCCTTTGAATTTTCTTTCGAAATTGTTTTCTAGTCTATAACTTTTGATTGAGAAGTCTGATCGAAAAAGTACGAATTGTTTTGGATTCTACGCACCAAAAATAATAAGAAAAAGTGTTTTCCCGAGAAATTTTGGTGCAGTCGATTTTTGGTAAAAAGGAAGGTTATACACTGCCTTTTTTTGAGCCCCGAAAAAAAATTGTCTCAGATCGACCCGGAAAAAAAATTTTCTTATAGAATGTGGCGTGTAGAATCCATAATTTCAAACAGTTCCAAGATTGGGCTACTAGTTCAAAAGTTACAGCCCTTTGAATTTTCTTTGGAAATTGGTTTCTAGTCTATAACTTTTGATTGAGAAGTCTAATCGAAAAAGTACGAATTGTTTTGGATTCTACGCACTAAAATTAATAAGAAAAAGTGTTTTCCCGAGAAATTTTGGTGTAGTCGATTTTTGGTAAAAAAGGAAGGTTATACACTGCCTTTTTTTGGGCCCCCGAAAAAAAAATTGTCTCAGATCGACCCGGAAAAAAATTTTTCTTATAGAATGTGGCCTGTAGAATCCATAATTTCAAACAGTTCCAAGATTGGGGCTACTAGTTCAAAAGTTACAGCCCTTTGAATTTTCTTTCGAAATTGGTTTCTAGTCTATAACTTTTGATTGAGAAGTCTGATCGAAAAAGTACGAATTCTTTTGGATTCTACGCACCAAAATTAATAAGAAAAAGTGTTTTCCCGAGAAATTTTGGTGCAGTCGATTTTTGGTAAAAAAGGAAGGTTATACACTCCCTTTTTTTGAGCCTCGAAAAAAAAATTGTCTCAGATCGATCTGGAAAAAAAAATTTCTTATAGAATGTGGCCTGTAGAATCCATAATTTCAAACAGTTCCAAGATTGGGTTACTAGTTCAAAGGTACAACCCTTTGAATTTTTTTTTGTGAAAGTATTTGAGTTACAAATACAAATACTGCTTCCATAAAAGTTATTACAACGTATTTGAATACTTTAAAGGATTTGAATACTAAAAAGTATTTACAAAATCGAATACTGCCCAGCTCTGTGCCAAAAGCACTGAATTTTCCTGGGAATAAAGTACAACCTGGGGGTCTGGGAGGTATGCAATACCCCCAGAAAGAAAGAAAATGCATTGTTGGTTTCCTTGCACGTATCATGAGATCTTACGGCTCTGGGGATATTGTATTGCCCCCCCTTGAACTTTGCGCTTGCGCAGATCTCAAGGTTAAAATCAGGTAAACAAAAAGCGCGTGCGCTAGAAACCCACTGTCATATTGTAATCGTAGACAAAAGCCCTGCCAATTCAAATTTATAATAACAAGCACCCATTAAATCGATAGCAAATAATACGGAGGCTATTAATCTACCCCCTATACTAATTAGAAGGAGAAATAAAGGGTTACTTTACCTAGCTTTGAGAAACAAACGCATACCACCCAAGCTGCCTTAGTTCCTCGCAGCTTTCTCTTTTCCGCTCGAAGGAAAGCATCACGCACCTCGTCCTTGTGCAATTTGAATTGTTAGATTCGCGCCCAGTGGCGTAACTTGCGTCTTTCCTCTTTAATGAAATGCATAAAGGCGGGAACTATTCATTTCAATTCATTCATAATTGTCTACTACACCTTTTCCATACGCAAAATTGTAAATCCCTAATTTCTTCCTGTTCCTGTACAGAAAACGAACACGGTGCGAGAGGCGCTCGATATGCTGGTCTGTAAAAATCAACTGGAGGGCGTGACCTCGTCGAAAACCAACGAAGAAGTGGAAGCCTGGCAACAAGTCACGCTGGAGGAGTTGCCGCTCGTTTTAGTATTACATTTAAAATGTTTCGATTACAAACTCGACGGCTGTTCAAAGATAATGAAGGCGCTCGAGTTCCCGATCGACCTTAAGATTGAGTCAAGTAAGTTCACCACTGCAACGCCTTTTAAAAGCGAACTCGACCGTTTGTTGCAGAAATGCTGTCACTCAAGAGCAATTACACTCCGAAGGAGAAACAGTATAAGTTATTCGCGATTGTGTACCACGAAGGGAAGGAGGCGACGAAAGGACACTACGTAACCGACGCCTATCACGTCGGATACGCGAGCTGGCTTAGATACGACGACGCGTCCGTCAAAGCGATACCCGAGGAACACGTACTGAACCCTTTGGGAACGAGAGTTCCTTACTTGTTATTTTATCGTCGTAGCGATTCTCTCAATAAAAATAAATAGTTTGTTTTAAAGATTGTTGCGTGCAACTTTTAAGAATTATTTTGATATTTAGGAATAAGTTGCTGAGTTTATTGGTATGAATGATTATTGTTACAAAATATAAACAAATACATTTTCTAAGAAAAACTCAAGAACGTATAAAGGTCACACACCCCACGGTAATTTACAGGCGGTTGATTTAGATTCGATCGCCGCTCAACGCGCATTCGGATAACATAGAAGAAAATCCACCCTATTGCAATTTACAGATGGTTGACATAAGCTCGGTGACCGCTTAACGCGAATTTTTATTTTCCCAAAATAAAACTACCCCGTGGTAATTTACAGAACCTGTAAGACGACTTTTTCGTAAATTTACTTTTCCTCTGTACCCTTCAATTTTGGTTTGGTTGAAATTACTCCTACTGCATCGTATTCTAATCTTTGGTATAGTGCTTGTTACCGCTTCGTTAATTGCAAGGTAAGTAAAGGGGGAGGGGGGTTATTGTTTGGCTTTCCTGCAATTGCTTTCCCGTAGAAACCGCTACCGAATCCGATCCGATTATTTTTTAAGTTTTGTTTTAGCATTCACCAGTAGCCGCCCACCGCTTGCTTCTTAGAATTCCTAGGACCTGCTATTAATAGCGACGGCAAATTAATTTTCGTGACTCGTGTCAGATGAATCTGTCCAAAACGCTGACCCAGTGCCGGATCTGGAAGTTTTTAGCACGGGGGCAAATTTGGTATTTTGCCGCCCTTCTTTCCAAACTAACATACAGCCGACCACATGCAAATGATCAGGGCAAATTAAAATTACACGAACCATGCCGACTTTTGCCGCCCCTATTGAGTGCCGCCCGGGGTACTTGCCCCCCCCCCCCCTTATTCGACACTGATTTCTGGTGCCATTTCTGGACTTCGGGAATCTTGTCTACTTGACCAGGACCTCCTACTGCCAGCTGTCTACTTTGCCCAGGAATTCAGCACCTCCAAGCGCCGTTTAACTGTTGTCAGGTTCTCACTCGGATGACAACTTAGAGGAATCTATAAAAGCTGCCTTTTCCTGTTCCACGTTTAGGCAAAGAGTATAAGTATTCTTTGCTTTCGGTGTGTATAGTTTCCAAAAATTGTAGGAGCTCCAACTCCTAAGGGTCTGGATGTACTCGCACGAGGTGATTCGGAGTTTGGTCATTGGTGAGGTTGGGTTAGAGTATACTAGTTAGGTTAGCTCAAAAGCCTTGTATCAGGAGAATATGATGTGCGAGGAGATTGAAGGTTAGGATAAAAAATTAGTGAGGTTAGGTTAGGGTGATGGTTAGGTTAGCTCAAAAATCTTGTATCAGGAGAACATAATGTGGGAGGAGATTAAGGTTAGGAAAAATTTTTAGTGAGGTTAGGTAAGGGTGATAGGTTAGGTCAAATTAGTTTGCCAAAATTTTAGACGCCTAAACCAATTTGACCTAACCTAACTATCACCCTAACCTAACCTCACTAATTTTTTATCCTAACCTTCAATCTCCTCGCACATCATATTCTCCTGATACAAGATTTTTGAGCTAACCTAACTATCACCCTAACCTAACCTCACTAAACATTTTTCCTAACCTTAATCTCCTCCCACATTATATTCTCCTGATACAAGATTTTTGAGCTAACCTAACTATCATCCTAACCTAACCTCACTAAACATTTTTCCTAACCTTAATCTCCTCCCACATTATATTCTCCTGATACAAGATTTTTGAGCTAACCTAACTACCACTCTAACCTAACCTCACTAAAACTTTAACCTAACTCTCAATCACCTTCTCGGACATTATATTCTCCTGATACAAGTTTTGTAAAAGTTTAAGACGAAGTAAGGCGTTGAAATACCTAGTTCTTTGAGAGCAGATTTACATCGTGAGCAGAGTGTCGTTTAAAAAGGTGATGGACGCGCACGGTACGGCCACGGTGAACCATTTGAGGAGCCTTTCATTGCCACCTAAACTTTGAAATAATTGTTTCGACGCGTGTAGTGTGCAAGGGTGCGTGGGGGTGTGTGTCCACCAAATCCATTCTCAGCGCCCATGGACGCATATCCCACCTCTTACACTCAAATACTGCATGTCCTGGAGTGTCTGTAAGCCCGAGATTCGCAAAGGTGTCCTCCCGACGCCTTTTGAATCTGTATGTTGATCGTGGTTAAAAATCAAAATGAATTACAAAAAAGTTACGTACGTGGCGACATCTCATCCAAACTTGTAATACTATAACATGAAAGAAAGTGTATCGATTACCAAGGAGATGGCGCACTTGTACCAATTGTATTTGAATTAATTATTCAAAAACCGGAGCACTGAACTGCAATTGCTCTACAGATTATGCAAGACTCCCTGCTACTTGAGGTGCCAATTAAGGAAAACTAAGTCCAACGCGGCTATTAATCGCATAAATTCAAGCGTTATTTCTGCAAAAGTTACTTACGTGGCGACATCTCAACTAAACATGTAATACTAGAACATGAGTGAAAGTGTATGGATTACCAAGGAGATGGCGCACTTGTACCAATTGTAGTTGAATTACTTATTCAAAAACCGGAGCATTGAACTGCAATTGCTCTACAGATTATGCAAGACTCCCTGCATCTTGAGGTGCCAATTAAGGAAAACTAAATCCAACGCGGCTATTAATTGCATAAATTCAAACGTCATTTCTGCAAAAGTTACTTACGTGGCGACATCTCAACTAAACATGTAATACTAGAACATGAGTGAAAGTGTATGGATTACCAAGGAGATGGCGCACTTGTACCAATTGTATTTGAATTAATTATTCAAAAACCGGAGCATTGAACTGCAATTGCTCTACAGATTATGCAAGACTCCCTGCATCTTGAGGTGCCAATTAAGGAAAACTAAGTTCAACGAGGCTATTAATCGCATAAATTCAAACGTTATTTCTGCAAAAGTTACTTACGTGGCGACATCTCAACTAAACATGTAATACTAGAACATGAGTGAAAGTGTATGGATTACCAAGGAGATGGCGCACTTGTACCAATTGTAGTTGAATTACTTATTCAAAAACCGGAGCATTGAACTGCATTTGCTCTACAGATTATGCAAGACTCCCTGCATCTTGAGGTGCCAATTAAGGAAAACTAAATCCAACGCGGCTATTAATTGCATAAATTCAAACGTCATTTCTGCAAAAGTTACTTACGTGGCGACATCTCAAATAAACAAGTTATACTACAACATGAAAGAAAGTGTATGGATTACCAAGGAGATGGCGCACTTGTACCAATTGTATTTGAATTAATTATTCAAAAACCGGAGCATTGAACTGCAATTGCTCTACAGATTATGCAAGACTCCCTGCTACTTGAGGTGCCAATTAAGGACAACTAAATCCAACGCGGCTATTAATTGCATAAATTCAAACGTCATTTCTGCAAAAGTTACTTACGTGGCGACATCTCAACTAAACATGTTATACTACAACATGAAAGAAAGTGTATGGATTACCAAGGAGATGGCGCACTTGTACCAATTGTAGTTGAATTACTTATTCAAAAACCGGAGCATTGAACTGCAATTGCTCTACAAATTATGCAAGACTCTGTGCATCTTGAGGTGCCAATTAAGGAAAACTAAGTTCAACGCGGCTATTAATCGCATAAATTCAAACGTTATTTCTGCAAAAGTTACTTACGTGGCGACATCTCAACTAAACATGTAATACTAGAACATGAGTGAAAGTGTATGGATTACCAAGGAGATGGCGCACTTGTACCAATTGTATTTGAATTAATTATTCAAAAACCGGAGCATTGAACTGCAATTGCTCTACAGATTATGCAAGACTCCCTGCTACTTGAGGTGCCAATTAAGGACAACTAAATCCAACGCGGCTATTAATTGCATAAATTCAAACGTCATTTCTGCAAAAGTTACTTACGTGGCGACATCTCAACTAAACATGTTATACTAGAACAAGAAAGAAAGTGTATGGATTACAAAGGAGATGGCGCACTTGTACCAATTGTAGTTGAATTACTTATTCAAAAACCGGAGCATTGAACTGCAATTGCTCTACAAATTATGCAAGACTCTGTGCATCTTGAGGTGCCAATTAAGGAAAACTAAGTTCAACGCGGCTATTAATCGCATAAATTCAAACGTTATTTCTGCAAAAGTTACTTACGTGGCGACATCTCAACTAAACATGTAATACTAGAACATGAGTGAAAGTGTATGGATTACCAAGGAGATGGCGCACTTGTACCAATTGTATTTGAATTAATTATTCAAAAACCGGAGCATTGAACTGCAATTGCTCTACAGATTATGCAAGACTCCCTGCATCTTGAGGTGCCAATTAAGGAAAACTAAATCCAACGCGGCTATTAATTGCATAAATTCAAACGTCATTTCTGCAAAAGTTACTTACGTGGCGACATCTCAACTAAACATGTTATACTACAACATGAAAGAAAGTGTATGGATTACCAAGGAGATGGCGCACTTGTACCAATTGTAGTTGAATTACTTATTCAAAAACCGGAGCATTGAACTGCAATTGCTCTACAAATTATGCAAGACTCTGTGCATCTTGAGGTGCCAATTAAGGAAAACTAAGTTCAACGCGGCTATTAATCGCATAAATTCAAACGTTATTTCTGCAAAAGTTACTTACGTGGCGACATCTCAACTAAACATGTAATACTAGAACATGAGTGAAAGTGTATGGATTACCAAGGAGATGGCGCACTTGTACCAATTGTATTTGAATTAATTATTCAAAAACCGGAGCATTGAACTGCAATTGCTCTACAGATTATGCAAGACTCCCTGCATCTTGAGGTGCCAATTAAGGAAAACTAAATCCAACGCGGCTATTAATTGCATAAATTCAAACGTCATTTCTGCAAAAGTTACTTACGTGGCGACATCTCAACTAAACATGTTATACTAGAACATGAAAGAAAGTGTATGGATTACCAAGGAGATGGCGCACTTGTATCAATTGTATTTGAATTAATTATTCAAAAACCGGAGCATTGAACTGCAATTGCTCTACAAATTATGCAAGACTCTGTGCATCTTGAGGTGCCAATTAAGGAAAACTAAGTCCAACGCGGCTATTAATTGCATAAATTCAAAAGCAATTTCAAATGAAGTTACGTACGTGGCGGCATCTCAACGCAACTACTAAAACTATACAATGAGAGAAAGTGTAGCGATTACCAAGGAGATGGCGTACTTGCAGCCATTATATTTCCAATAATTTTTTAAAAATCTGGTAATTGAAGTACAATTGCTGTACAGATGTTGTCCGTACATTTTTCACTGCCATTTTACTAGCTATACTCTGCGTTTTCCCCGTGTCCTTTTAAGCATTATGTTAGATGTTAGTTTTGTTTGACGCGCCAAATAACACGAAGCTAACTTCCATAATGGTCACCACGGAGGCGAATGTAAAATGGTTGCCTTGTAACAATTTAATGAATAAATAAGTAGTGCTTACAGTTGTGTCTTTTACAATGCACCCAATACGAAACAGTTGCTGACATTTCGTGGAGAGAAGCTTGGAAATCGATCTCAAACCGTATATCTAAATAATCTCATCAAGGGAGTACCTCAAGGCACCACATATGGTCCAATATTATTTTCAATTGATATCAAAACACGCGCTCTCAGGTAGCACAATTTTCGATGGTCGCATTAATTTTATTGTGACGATTGTTTAGCTTAGGAGAAGAAATGAACTGGATGTTCAGGTAATACACTAACGTACACTACACGTGACAGATGATAGTGCGCACTTGTGCAAACATAGCGACCCCGGTCTTCCGGCGTAATCTTCTCCAATATCAGACGTGTGTTCTTCTGTATCGTCCGAAGGGGCTCGCGTGGTGCCTGAAATCTGTAGCGTATTTAACTAACACATATACCTCCAATTTTTTGGGAGTAAACACTTTAGTTTTTACCTCCTGTTTTCTACCCGGCTCCAAATTACTTCATGCTGGTGATTTCCAGGACGAATGCTGCTGCCAAAGGACACGCTCTTGCAGTTCAGTGACAGATCGCTGCCTTCTGCCACTGTTACTATTGACGGTACTATGGTTTCCTTATCGTTAACCTTCTGCGTGATTATGACGGTGTGATCTAAAATGGAAGCGCACTCTGAGAACAACCGGGTGCTTGGCGATGGACTTACAGCTTCCTGCAGCGAGAGTGGCTAGGAGCACTACGTGCAGCAGCAGACTGACTTTCGACATTTCATAGAAGAAAGTCGACTCGTAATGCGGGGACCTTACATTAAGATTTGGGCAAAGGTTATCGGCGATAACTGTTAAGTCAACTGTAGGTTACATAAGTTCGTGGTACAAATTGCCATATGCTGATGTAATGGAAAAGGGCTTCAAAGGTACGAAATTTTATAGAAAGGGTGAATGTGACTCATCTTTGGTGCAATAAAGTCCTTTTGTTAAAAGCAAGATGGAAAATTACAGGGCATTGTCGGCAAATTTAACTACAAACAAGATATGTGTAAATTACGAATCGTAACTCATTTATCGCACATAGATTCTAAACTGAAGGGCTTTGATTAGCGTAATCCCGCTCCTGCAAGATAGGTAACCGGCCCCTGGTTTCGGGGTTTCGAGCCTACAGTTGAATGTCGAAGACAATCACGGAATTAAGTGTCGTACTTCAAATGGTTACAGTTTTTTACCACTCCCGTGCCTGCTTCATTCACGGAGAAAATTGTTAGTTAAACAACAAGTCAGTACAAACATCAAACCAATCGGTAATTTCCACATATTAAAATAAAATGATCAAAACTTATATGAATGTTACTTCAGGGACAAGACCAAGTAATCAACATCAATAAACATAAATTAAGCAAGCACTACACCACCAAAAACGTAAACAATTACAAACAATAGCATAACGGTATCAAATATGTCATTCTGCATTGCTATTGAACTAAGTAAATTTCAAAAACAAAAATCGAAACAAACAAAAAATATGAAATGCGGCATACAAAACACAAATACGATATAAAGAAATGGAAAAATTACTACCTGCATTAAATAACAACAAACATTTATGGAGCGACGCGTTCACGACCGCCATTTACGACAAGATGCCAAACGTAACTCACGAACGCGCTTTCTAGATGGCGCAGGTAGCTTTTCCACTCCTAAAAATTGCGCGGTTGCCAACTCTGAAAAATGTGTGCATTGCCGTGTAATTTGTATATACAGGGTGGAACACTTCAACCTATTGCTAATTGGAATTTTCCGGTGTAGCAACTGTTGTCGTTATATACACTCGATTTCTATCCTGGTTTTCGCTATTTATTGAAACTAAAATGTTTAACAATTAGCGGTGCTGAAATATCAATATTGAGGGCTTAATGAAATTTTTAACTTTCATTTCTATTAAAATAGAATTTGGGTTTCATTTCATACATCTGTCAGGACAAAGTGAAACCACCTTCCCTTTGAGAAAAGTAACGTGGGTAGCTCAGTACATGCAAATACGGTCAAATGAGAGATACAGTCAGAAACAGACCACAATTTCAACCGGAGGGACAAAAAGAAATAAACTGACATATTTTAATAAGCGCCTTTTCCCACTGGCGCTGCGTGAAAACGCCGCGACGATGATTGAAATATTATGTCTAACAAATGGAATTTTTATCTACCCTCTCTATCCATGCATACAAAATGGGGTACTTAGAATGATACAGTTCCAGAGCTTAAGGAGCTTCTGATTTCACATGGATAACTGCAAAGCGGCGGCTTTTCCTTTGCAATGCCGATAATGAAATTGGTATTTAATTTCTCTTTTAGTAAATTTCCAGACGAAGGACTTCACGCTGCATTTGCGAAGAGATGACTGACTTCAGGAAATTAAAACGTAATATAGTGACATCGCGGATGAGTAATGAAAACTTACTTCTAATTAACTGCAACTATGTTTCGTCACTATCCAGAGGTGCGTACGGGATTTTTCTTCGGTTTTCCAATTAGGCGGCGTGAACTGAATTTGAAGCAGCATTCAAACGATTAAAATCGTTCATACGGAAATTAAACTTATATCCCGTATGTGATTTTAAAACGCGCTGAATACAGAGTCTGTAGCAGACTAGAATACCTAATCTGAAAGTTGTAAGGGAAATGGTACTAACCTGTACCGAGCAAAAAAAGCTATGTAACAGGGTTTCCCTGTACAGAAAATTGAAAGAAGGCAGGATTTAGGATTAGGTATGAATGTAACTTTGAGCGTGCATTGCATGGAAATTAAGGGTTTGACCAGCAAACTCATCTTCCATTGTCTAGCGAGACAGCTACAGATGTTTTTTCACCCTACGACCCCGGAAACAGTTTTAGGTGGAGGATGGCGTTATAGATACTTGTGAGGTACCCCAGCGTTGTCCTCGTAACATTTTGGAGAGCACGGTCGTGCCCTGTAGCTCTTCCAGCTGTAGATTAATCCGCCCTGATCTAGGTGCGAGATTTGTAATGCAGTTCGTTTGGCACTGGCATTGCTAGAATTCCTCCTCCATTTCTTGGTTCTGATCCTCGTCAGTTATTGGATGTTTAGTGAAACTTGTTGGACAGTTGAGGCGAAGACTTCTGCTTTTTTCGGCGGCTTCGTCCCCCATCAGGAGTCTTCAGGGGGTAGGCGGGTGGTTTCTTGGGTCCTCTTGCCTGCTAGTTGGCGGTAGTTGCAGCGTTGGTGGTGGTGGTACCGATACCGGTGAAGGTCTGAGGTCTGCCGCTTGTTTCGATTGAGCCCGAGGTTGGAAGAGGGTGGTGGTATTACTGCCAGCTCCATCGCGGCGGCGTTATCGTCGTCAAGGGATGGCACGGATGCCGGTTTCGTGGCTGATGGTGTGGTGGTACCTGCGTGGAAGATTTTACTTTGTTATTCGATTATGTATAAATTGACCCATAAGCAACCCTTAAATTGCTCTCTAAGGTTAAAGTTCCCTTTGGTTTTAAAATTACGAATTTTATTAAGAAAATTCAAACTCATATGTAAAGTAATCCTCGATTGCGGGGGTTGTAATTTTTGTAGTACACAGCAAATATTTGTACTTCGTTGATCGAATATGTGTAAATCCATAAGCATAAGCAACCCTTCAATTGCTCTTTAAGGTTAAAGTTCCCTTTGGTTTTAAAATTACGAATTTTATGATTGTATTCAGACCTATATGTATAGCAATCCTCGATTGCGGGGGTTGTAATTATTGTAGTACAGCAAATATTTGTACTTCGTTATTCGATTATGTATAAATGATCCATAAGCAACCCTTAAATTGCTCTCTAAGGTTAAAGTTCCCTTCGGTTTTAAAATTACGAATTTTATTAAAAAATTCAGACTCATATGTAAAGTATTCCTCGATTGCGGGGGTTGTAATTTTTGTAGTACAGCAAATATTTGTATTTCATTATTCGATTATGTATAAATGACCCATAAGCAACCCTTAAATTGCTCTCTAAGGTTAAAGTTCCCTTTGGGTTTAAAATTACGAATTTTATTAGAAAATTCAAACTCATACGTAAAGTAATCCTCGATTGCGGGGGTTGTAATTTTTGTAGTACATCAAATATTTGTAGTTCGTTAATCGATTATGTTTAAATGATCTATAAGCAACCCTTAAATTGCTCTCTAAGGTTAAAGTTCCCTGTGGGTTTAAAATTACGAATTTTATTAGAATATTCAAACTCATGTGTATAGTAATCCTCGATTGCGGGGGTTGTAATTTTTGTAGTACATCAAATATTTGTATTTCATTATTGGATTATGTATAAATGACCCATAAACAACCCTTAAATTGCTCTCTAAGGTTAAAGTTCCCTTTGGGTTTAAAATTATGAATTTTATACTTATATTCAGACCTATATATGTATAGTAATCCTCGATTGCGGGGGTTGTAATTTTTATAGTACACCAAATATTTGTATTTCATTATTGTATTATAAATAAATGGCCCATAAACAACCCTTAAATGGCTCTCTAAGATTAAAGTTCCCTTTGGGTTTAAAATTACGAATTTTATGATTATATTCAGACCTATATGTACAGTAATCCTCGATTTCGGGGGTTGTAATTTTTGTAGTACATCAAATATTTGTATTTCATTATTCGATTATGTATAAATGACCCATAAACAACCCTAAAATTGCTCTCTAAGGTTAAAATTCCTTTTGGGTTTAAAATTATGAATTTTATTAGAAAATTCAGACCCATACGTAAAGTAATCCTCGATTTCGGGGGTTGTAATTTTTGTAGTACATCAAATATTTGTATTTCATTATTCTATTATGTATAAATGACCCATAAGCAACCCTTAAATTGCTCTCTAAGGTTAAAGTTCCCTTTGGGTTTAAAATTACGAATTTTATTAGAATATTCAAACTCATGTGTATAGTAATCCTCGATTGCGGGGGTTGTAATTTTTGTAGTACATCAAATATTTGTATTTCATTATTGGATTATGTATAAATGACCCATAAGCAACCCTTAAATTGCTCTCTAAGGTTAAAGTTTCCTTTGGGTTTAAAATTACGAATTTTATTAGAAAATTCAGACTCATACGTAAAGTAATCCTCGATTACGGGGGTTGTAATTTTTGTAGTACATCAAATATTTGTATTTCATTATTCGATTATGTATAAATGACCCATAAGCAACCCTTAAATTGCTCTCTAAGGTTAAAGTTCCTTTTGGGTTTAAAATTACGAATTTTATTAGAAAATTCAGACCCATATGTAAAGTAATCCTCGATTGCGGGGGTTGTAATTTTTGTAGTACAGCAAATATTTGTATTTCATTATTCGATTATGTATAAATGACCCATAAGCAACCCTTAAATTGCTCTCTAAAGTTAAAGTTCCTTTTGGGTTTAAAATTACGAATTTTATTAGAAAATTCAAACTCATATGTAAAGTAATCCTCAATTGCGGGGGTTGTAATTTTTGTAGTACAGCAAATATTTGTATTTCATTATTCAATGATGTATAAGTGATCCATAAGCAACCCTTAAATTGCTCTTTAAGGTTAAGCTTCCCTTTGGTTTTAAAATTACGAATTTTATGATTATATTCAGACCTATATGTATAGTAATCCTCCATTGCGGGGGTTGTAATTATTGTAGTACATGAAATATTTGTATTTCATTATTCGATTTTGTATAAATGGCCTGTAAGCAACCCTTAAATTGCTCTTTAAGGTTAAGCTTCCCTTTGGTTTTAAAATTACGAATTTTATGATTATATTCAGACC